GACAAGCAGTGGGGAACTGCGGGGGGTGCTGACAACACAGCAGACGGTAGCAGGGATAGCAGAGTATAAGGGCTCTTGTTGGGGGATGGAGGCTATGGGAATTGAGTCTGTTGAATAAGATGATGTGGGATGTTTTGTGTGATACACACACACACACACACACATACACACACAAACACAAAAGTCAACAAATTTTTTTAAATGAATTATATTTGAGGAAGAAGCATGGAAATTTACATCATGCAAATTATTAGAGGTGATAAACATTATCATTGAAATCTACCCAATGACTTCATAGATATGAGCAGGCACCAAGGATCCAAGTGCAACCGACTATGACTAGTAATAATCAGATGCATACAGATTAGAGATGCATGCAGTAAGCATGAAGCTTCCAAGTTGGTACCAGCTTAAACTATTTGGGGGAAGAATTGCAAAGAAGTGACATGGGATTTGTCTCCATGCATAATACCATTGTTGCTCCTACTGTCTGCAGAGTTTACTGTGGTCGTTCGTTCATTCAGGTAGGTAGCTCCATGTTCCTCCACTGTGATTACTTAACCGTGAACCCAAAAATTTACAGCCACTTTTGAAAAAGATGTATCTTTGCTCTGGAAACTGTTACTGAGTATGTTGTAGCTGTAATGAAATGCTTCTTCTAATCGTGTGGTTATTAAATAAATAATTAAAAAGAATGATATTCAGCACAATAGAATGGTTAGAAATCAATAAGAGAAGAAATGAAGAAAACCTAAAGCAAGATATTTTCCAAATATTTGGAAACCAAATATTAAGCCTTTAAATAGATCATGGGTCAAATAATAAATGAACAGGGAATTTAGAAAGTATTTTAAACCACTTTAAAAATAACAAAATTTCTGACATAACACTTGTGTATTAAAGAATTTGCCAGGTCTTTGTCCCTGAGCCACAGGAAGGATCATGAACCATTGGAGGTAAAGTCTTTGTTATTCTTGGACCATGCAAAGAAATGGCATGACTCTGCATGGGGGCTGGTCATCAGAAAGACAAATCTTGTGACTTGAGAGTGGGGTCTTTGGTCAACCTGACCACTAGAGATGCTTGTAAGCCTTAATTATTATTTAAGGAAAAAAAAGAGAGGATTAGATTAATGTTCTCAGAGTTTATCTTAAGAAACTAGAAAAATGAGAATTGTCTAGACCAAGAAAATAAAGAAAAGCAAAAGAGTCTATAGATAAGAGTAAAAATCAATGGAAATAGTAAAATAGTAAGAAATAATAAAACCAAAAGCTGATTGACACAATGAAACTGACAAATAACAAGCCAGACTTTTAACCCCAGTACTCAGAAGGCAGAGGCAGGCAGATCTCTGTGAGATCGAGGCCAGCCTGATCTACACAGCAAGGTCAAGGACAGCAGGGGCTATAGGGAGGCATTGTCTCAAAGCAAAACAAAACACCCATTAATGAATATTTAATACAACTTTATGTGAATAAATTAGATATTTTAGATAACATGAGCAAATTCCTTGAAAATACAAAGCTCCACACTCATTCAAGAAGAAATAGGAAAATAACCATATACATATTCAAGAAACCCAATTTATAGATTAAAAGCTTCCCACAAATAAAACTTCAGACTCAATATCTTTCCTAATAAATTCTACCATAAGGAAGAAGTAATACTAATTCTAATTTTTTTTTCAAAACCAAAGACGATAAAGTTATTCTTAGTCCATTCTGTGAGACTATATCAATATCAAGCAGATACCAAACCACAAAAAGGTATCACAAAATAAACTAAGCTTCATGAATGCAGATAAAAAGGATTATGAACAAAATTTAGTAAATCAAATCAATACATTATGACAAAGTAAGACTTAGAGTGGCATTCAAAAAAAATATATATATATAGATATATAGATATAGATATATAAATATAGGATCAAGTCGGCTTTATTCCAGAGATGTAGGGACAGTTAAATATTCATAAGTCAATAAATGTAACAAAACATATAAATGAGCAGGAAGAAGACAATGATTCACTAACACATTTTTATTTAAGATGAGCAAGATTCTAGTCATTGCAGTAATGGAAAAACTGGGAAAGACAAGACACCTACTTTGGAAAGAAAGGCACAAACTGTGTTTAATTTGTAAGAAATATGTTGCAGGACATATAATTAACTTGCAAAATTATTTGTGTTTATGCATTTTGGCAAAAAAAAATAATCAAAATTCAAATGTAAATGATATTTACAATAGCATCGAAATATTAGTGATAAATTGGACAAAAGATGCATGTAACCTACATATTGAAAATTATAAAATATTACTACTAGAAGTTAAAGAAGACCTAAATAAATAGACTGATAGAGGTTTTATGGATCAAGAATCTAAATACAAGTATGAAGCAATTATTCCTTAATTGTTATGTAGAATCTGTACAATTACATTCAGAGTCCCAAGAAGCTTTATAAAAATAAAAATTCACAACTCTCTAAAATTCACTGGGATATGTAAATGACATCAAAGAACATAAACAATGTAAAAAAAGAGATGGGAGGCCTAATACTATCTAGTTTCAAGAACTATCAAGCATTCAGTGGGGCTAGGGGTGTAGAATGGTAGAGGCCTTGACTAGCATATGTGAAGCCCTGGATTCAACTCCAATGACTGGCAAAATGACATCGTGTGATAATAGCATCATTATCTAGGCCAAATAATATGAAGATCAATGAAACAGAACAAGCCAAGAAATAAATGCACACATATACTGAGAATTGGGTTTTGACAAAAGTTTAAAGGCAATACAATAAAAAAATAGGCTCTTCAAAAATGGATCCTGAGGAAATTGGATATCCAATTTTTTTTAATAGAATTGAAGGGCTGGGCGTGGTGGTGCATACCTTTAATCCCAGCACTCACGAGGCCGAGGCAGGCAGATATCTGTGAGTTCAAGGCCAGCCTGGTCTACATAGTGAGTTCCAGGACAGCTGGGGCTACAGGGAGACCCTGTCTCAAAAAGACCCAAAAAAAAAAAAATTGAGTGCTCACTTCGGCAAAGCATATACCAAAATTGGATCAATACAGAGAAGACTAACATGGCCCCTGTGCAAGGACACATGCAAATTCATGAAGTGCTCCATATTTAAAAATAAATAGAATTTGAACCATACCTCACCATGTATACAATACACAAATATGAACACAAAGGGGACAGACCTAAATGCAAAAATTAAAGATTGAAAATTTCTGGAAAAACACAAAAGAGAAAATCTTTGAGATCATAGGTTAGGCAAAGTTTTCATAGATATAATAATAAAATATGTCATAAAAATACAAATTAGAGTTCTTAATCTAAAAAACAAAACAAAAAAGCAACCAATCAAACAATCAGTCCCTGTTTAAAGTCATTAGGAAGAGACCAAAATACACACCAGAGAATAGGACGGATGTGATGAAGCATGTATCTCTGATACAGGACTTATAACCAGACTAGTTCATGAACTCTCAAAATCCAGTAAGGAAGCTAATGATCCCAAAGCAAAGGGCAAAAAAATCATGTAAATACTTCACCAAAGAAAATATGTAAATGTTAAAGCAACACACAAAAATGTGTGCCACATGACTATTCATTAGACAGGTGCAAACTAGACTCCCTATGGTATACAAATATGCGTGTGTTAGGATGACCAGTTAAAGACACACTAGACACACAAACTGTGCCAAGAATGTGGAGGAACCAGAGTTCTCATGAGCTACAGATGGAAAAACATGTTTATTTTATGATATGGTCATTCCAGTCCAGAGTTGTTTCTCAAAAAAGAAAAAAAATGAAATCATCTGTCCACACAGCAAACTTATACATGAATGCTCCTGGATTCAAAGATAATTGCCAAATAGTGAGAAAAGCTCACGTGTCCATCAACAGGTAAACAGACAAGCTGTAGGGTGTCCATGTAATAGAATACTGCTCTGCAATGAAAAGAAATGAACTATGGATGTGTGTTCTGGCATGGATGAATCTCAAAATAATTCTACTCTGTTAAAGAAGCCCAGGAGAAATGAAGAGCCCATGCTTAATTACTGCACTGATATGAGGGAGGTCCTCGAAGGTGCACACACATGCTTACTTTGACTAAGCAGATCACTGGTTCCCTGGGGATGAATGAGAGGAACAGAAAGATCATCTAAAATAGTTTGAAAAGAACATTTTAGAGGTGATGTGCGTAGGGAACACTTCCATGTGTGTATTTACATGTTAAAACATCAGTTTATACATTTCATATATGTTCAATTTACTGTACGCCAACTTTATTTCAATAAAACTTTCACAAATAGTCAAGTTCAAGTGTTCAATCAATAGCTATTGATTACCACATAGGACATTTTCAATGCATTTCCATCAGTGTAGGAGGTGAAATTGAACAGTGTGTCCTGGAATCATAGGAAGAGATCTGAGAACAGAGTGGGGTCAGATAAGGAAAGAACCTAAGAAGAAAATCAATGTCCATGGATGAATGGTTGTGCAGCTTTTTGATTCTGGAATGCAACTAAGTGGACGCGTTCTAGTGAGTCAGCTTTGGGACTTCTGGTTTCTTTGATCATTTCTTTGAACCCACAAATAAGCGATTACAATGGAGACTCATGATTTCTTGGTAACTAAAAGTGCAACTATGAGAACTAGGAAGGAATTATTAGGTACAACTCAATGGTTTCAGGGATGGTGAAAAAAAAACTTACACTGGAAGAATATGTGCTCCCAAGAGTTTTAAGAAAGAATTGGGGTACACAACTGAAAGTTTTAAGAAGATAGAGCTTAATATAGATGCTGTTAGCACAGCCTCATGCACTGAGTTCTCTCCAGGAATAAAGTTCCCAAGCTTCAGCATCCTCATGCCAGTTGGTGCTTAGCAACAATATGGCATGCTGATCAACCTGGAGTCACTCAGCATTCCTGTGCTTGGGCTATTTAATGAATCTGGATTTCTGGGCTGTAGATTTATTTTGATTCATCATTTGCTTTCTCTCATAGTCTCTTGTGCACATTTGTTGTCTGCTTGTCAGTATTTTTTTCTATTACACTCAACCCTAGGAAGTTCCGTCAAACATTACCTATCATTCGAAAGGTGTATATTTTGTCAGTAGTGCAAACTTACTTGCCTTGTTTATTATTTTCTCTCAAAGAGCAAACACTGTCTGAACATTAGTTTGCTAAAACTCAAAGAAAAAAAAATCACTGTTGTTTTCCATTGTACTGTGACTTCCCCTTTCAGCCAAATCACCAACCCAAGAACTAAATCACAAATCCCTGAGAAGGAAGGAAGGTGTCCTAGTTTGTTTCTCCATTGCTGTAACGAAACACTCTGACCAACACCAACTTGGGTTGGGGAGGAAAGGGTTTATTTTGTCTTACATCTATCTCCCAGGTCACAGTTCATCATGGAGCCCAAGGTAGGAACTTAGGGCAGGAACCTTGAGGCAGAAACTGAAGCATGGGCTGTGGAGGAACGCTGCTTACTGGCCTGCTCCCATGGCCCTTGCTCAACCTGCTTTCCTATACAACATGGGCCCACTGGTCCAGGGGTGGCACCACCCACAGTGGGCTGGGCCTTCCCACATCACTCAATAATCAAGAAGATTCCCCACAGACATGGCCACAGGCCAGTCCCATGAAGGCAATTCCCCAACTGGGGCTCCCTCAACCCAAGTGTGTCAAGTTGACACTAAAGCTATCCAGTACAGAAGATTACACTAAACCGCTACCTCTCATACAAACTTCTCATTTAAAAAATTCTCATGCCTGTTAACCAACAAGAACATCTTTAGCAGTGAGAAGTGATGTCAGATGGAACAGGGCAGGAGGAGGCAACTAACAACTAGATCATTATGATTTTGTCTTAATATAGACACTAAATTTTAGAATTAAAGTTCTCAGGTTGCCCTGGAGATCTGAGTCATTAGAAAAGAACTCAATTAAGAAGGACTCCTAAATATAATGAAAGTGTATACTGGATTTGCTACCTTTCATTTCCTGGGAGTAGAGATACGAGAGGAAATGGCTGCATCCATCCCCATCTCTTCAGGGAAGTAGAATGCTGCAGATTTGCTCTCTAGAACCCAGAGGAGACTGGGTTCTGACCCTACCAGTGGAGGTAAAAACACTCTCCTCAAGGTCAAAGCAATTAGGAAACTTACATTTTAAACAAAATTATGGAAAATGTTACATGTTTTTCTGAATCTTATTACACAAGAAAACTAAATTCAAGTTTCTCTGACTTTTCTACTATCTGAATAACAGTAAATCCATAGTCATTTCTGATGTGTCTAAAGTAAAATTTTCAAAAACATAACTGCTAATACTTCAGTGACAAGTGTTGTTTCAAGCACTTTATAAATATGAGTTCATGTTAATCATTATTGTTGTTATCATGTCCATTTTGATATGATCTGTCTAAACCATGGAAACTGAGCAAGTAGAGATGGGACAAAAGGTGAGCTCAGTAGAGATTAATGAGGTTCATGTATTTATGTTATAGATGAAATTACTGGATTGGGCTGTGCTACTTGGGCCCTCTTATAATTCAAAACATGGAATTAAGCTTTAGGTATATTTTATTCTGATCCACCTGGAACACTGTACTATTTCCCAGAAATTTCCAACTTTAAAAAGCCAACAATATCCTGAAGAAAAAAAAATACAATGGTTTTCTTCTCAGATATTTTAATTATTTTTATGAAAAATGGTTGATGAAACTATTACATAGGAAAAATAATTTTTGTCTTTTATTTTTATGTTTTTAACTCTATTAAAAAATTATTGAGAATTTCATACATGCATATAAGGTGTTTTGATCAAACACATGCCCACTCCCTCCCCTCCAACTCCTCCCATATCTCCGCATTACTTTTTTTCTGACAGCTTAGTGTTCTCTTTCTGTTTTTTTTTTTTTTTCAATAATGGGGCTTTTTGCTACTCTAACATCCCCCTCTGAAGAGGTAACCCTAAAATCTTTTAGGGATTGGATGAGAGCTCTGTTGGGAGCTATTAGCATAAGCACAGCCATTATGTACATTGAGCTGTGGCAGGCTTGCTTGTTTACTTTATGATCTTTCACCTTGACTCAAGAGTTTGTGTGTTTTGCACACCAGTACCGAATTGTTCTGCCAAGTCAGGAGGAATGTGTTGATAATTTAGGGAAGATGGTTAAATGGTGGAATTCACAACAAGTATTTGACGGCTCCTTGACCCTCAGATACAGGTGGAAAAAACAGCTGTTGAAGCTAATTGAGTTAAGCAAACGGTGGCTGTCTGATGTTCTTCTGTATAAAAAGGCGGAGCTAAAATAAACTGGGGCTGCAGTCTCTCCTGACAGCCCTCCCAAGTATCTTTTCTCTGTCTCTTGTTTTTCTTTCAAGCCTCACTCCCCCTTTCAGGTGCTGTTCATCTCAGCCAGCTGGCACCAGCAGAGCTCCCAAATATTTTTGACGTTTTTGGCCTTTGGAGCACAGTATGTTGCTAAGAGGCCTAGGACATTTTGACTTTTAGCCAAGAAACTGGCTACATTTCTTTGGGGTCTTTTTACCCTAACTGCCTAGCCAATTCCTACCTCCTATTCTTATCACACCATCCTCTGAAGAGGTTACCCAAATTGCTGATAGGGAATCAGGACACAGACCTCTTGGCTTCTTCCATGCTGAACAGGGACGCGGGGTGAGACAATTGGGGTACTCCTTCAGTGGGTCTATCTAAAACACTCCCATATTGCATAACTCTTATCTGTAGAGAGAAAAGTAAGTCACTGACTGGTGAATAGGAGATGTGAAGGAGAAGTAAAGGCAAGAGTAGTTAGCATTACAAGTTCTAGACAGAGAACTAGAAAGAAGTCAGAACACAGCAATTTTCAAATGTTCATATGAGAGTGCATTGGGATTTCTTGACAAGGGCTTCCAAAAGCTTCCCTCTATTGAGCTCCTCCTCATTTTTCTTTTGTCTTCCAAGGCTGGACTCTAGAGTGATGGAATCAGAATTTGCTTTCAGGTATTTTGATAGCTTAGAGTGGTGAGAATCAGTGTCAGTTCCCTCTCAAAGGCTTCTAGATAGGGGGAGAAAACAAATTTAGCCATCAATTTAGAACACTAGCTGGTTGTC